AGAGGATTTTTAGGCAAAGAAGACGTGTTCAACGTGCAAATATGTATCAAATCAGAAATCAAGGCATTGGTCATGAGGAAGATCAGAATGCCATGGCAATTCCAAATGTAGGGAAGCCAGACCTCATGCCATTTGTGATCACTTAAACCATATTTTGGATGACTTAGAACCTGGAATTGTGGCATCTGAGATTCAGGCAGCCCATTTTGAGCTCAAACCTGTCATGTTCAATATGCTAAATTCCATAGGGCAATTTAGGGGCATGCCAAATCAAGATGCCATACAATATATTCGTAACTTCTTGAAGGTGTGTGATTTGTTTCGTCAATAAGGAGTGCACGAAGATGTATTGAAGTTAAATCTATTTCCATATTCTCTACGTGACTGAGCAAGGGCTTGGTTGAGTGGCGTTCCAGTGGGTTCAATGGAGTCCTGGACTGATCTGTGCAAAAAAAATTCTACGGTATAATCCTCCAAACATGAACACCCAACTGAGGAACGACATCACTTCTTTTCGTCAAGCTCATGACGAATCAATGTATGAATATTGGTATCGATATAAAGGATTGCTTCACAAATGTTCAAATCATGGTTTTCATGATTGGATGCAAGTGGTGATGTTCTATAACAGAGTTAATGCACCAATGAGGATGATGCAAGATTCCTCGGCAAATGGGACATTACTTGATAAATCACCTGCAGAGGCATTTTATATTCTGGATAGGATTGGCAACAACGATTATCAATTTCCATCAACAAGGCTTGGACTTGGGCGGAAATCACATGGAGCATTCGAGCTAGACACTAAGGATACAGTGTCCGCCCAACTTGCTACTATCACCAATATGTTGAAGAATTTGTAAAGACCATGCAAGGTGAAAGAAGTAAAGGCAGCCAATTCAACATGTTTATTATGCCACAGCAATCACCATGAGAGTGAGTACCCGACCAATCAAGAATCCATCAACTATGTGGGAAACTACAATCGAGGCAACAACAACCCCTATTCTAACACATATAATCCTGGATGGCGTCAACATCCAAACTTTTCGTGGGGAAATCAAGGAACCAGCAATGCTAATCAACCAGTTCGGCAGCAGAATTTTAATGACTCCCAAGGTTTTCAAATGAATATGCCATGGTATAATTCTCACAAGGGAGGGCCATCTTCATCTAACATAATTTCTTTGGAAGCCACAATGCAAGAGTTCATAGCAACTACGAAGACCATACTGGAAGACCATTCGACCTCCATAAAAAAACAAGGAGCCCTACTTCATAGCCACAATTCATCTCTAAAGGTATTGGTCAAATTACCGCAGCATTACAAGAACGAAGACCAGGACATCTACCGAGTGACACTGAAGTCACAAAACCTCATAGAAAAAAACAATGCAATTTACTAACTCTAAGGAGTGATACTCAAATCAATGTCGAAGATAAGTTTGGGGGAAGATCGAAGAATGATTTACCCCTTGTAACCGTGCAAGCTGATCAAGAATTTCTAGAAGAAATATCCATGGAAGAGAATAAGGATGAGGGTTCATCAAGTAAAGTGACTGAGGAAGCAAACAAAAATGCCAAGGCATATATTGTTCCCACCCCGTCAGTACAAGAAGTCAGACCCCCACCTCTTTTCCCGCAAAAACTAAAGAAGCATAATGATGATATTCAATTCAAAACGTTTATTGACATTTTGAGTCAACTTCATATCAATGTTCCTTTTCTGAAAGCTATGGAACAAATGCCTACATATGCTAAATTCCTCAAGGGGATTGTTACCAAGAAAAGAAAGGTAGAGCAGTACGAAAACATTGCCACGGCAAAAGAATATTGCTCTTCCTTAAGCAAGCTGCCACCAAAAAGACATGATACAGGAAGTTTTATCATTCCATGTTTGATAGGAGACAAATATGTTGGAAAGGCACTATGTGACCTGGGATCAAGCGTGAACTTAATGCCTAAGTCAATTTTCGTGAAGCTTGGAAAAGAAAATGTGAAACCCACCTCTGTTATCTTACAATTAGATGATCGTTCACATGTTCATCCCGAAGGGCGAATCGAGGATGTCACTGTATGGGTTGACAAGTTCGTATTTCCAGTAGACTTTTTGATTTTAGACTGTAAGGTCGATGCCACAGTATCCATAATTTTAGGGAGACCCTTCCTAGCTACCGGTTGCATTCTTATCGACTGCGAGAAGGGTGAGTTGACCATGAGAATGGCCGACCAATGTGTCATAGTGAATGTCTTCCGTTCTCTCAAATACATGGATGATTCTGAAGATTGCCAGAGCATTTTCGAAGTGGATTCATTTATAGCAAGAGAAGTAGATCAAGTTTACCATGACATTTTCATTCAGCTGGAAACTGATGAGAGGCTATTTGAAGATTTAAAGGCTATTTGAAGATTTAAAGGCTATTTGAAGATTTAAAGGCTGAAGAGCCTAATGATTTTTCTTTCGATGAGAAGCATGCTAGCTTCCTCATAGCTAGCCCAGGTACGCGCTTTAAACTTTTGAATTTCGATGAGTTTGTTCCTCCTAAGCCCTCATTATAGCATACGCCTACCCTAGAGCTAAAGAATTTTCCACAGTATCTAAAATATGCTTATCTGGGTAGTAATGAAACTTTAAATGTGATTATTTCCTCTGCCCTTACTTCTAACCAAAAATGTAGTCTGATAAGTGTTTTGTCATAGCACAAGAGAGCGTTAGGATGGACAATAACGGATCTGAAGGGAATAAGTCCAACCATTTGCATGCACAAAATCCTACTGGAAGAATGACGTGGAAAATTCATATAACCGCAACAAAGATTAAACCCAATCATGAAGCAAGTTGTGATGAAAGAAATTCTCAAGTGGCTTGACGCTGGAGTGATTTACCCTATTTCTGATAGTTCTTGGGTCAGTCCCGTTCAATGTATGCCAAAGAAGGGAGGCACGACCGTGGTGACAAGTGAATATAATGAGCTACTACCAACACGCACTTCATCAGGTGGAAAATATGCATGGACTACCACAAACTCAACAAGGCCACAAAGAATTATCACTCCCCTTTATCGTTCATCGATCAAATGTTGGATCGACTAGCTGGTAAGGCATATTATTATTCCTTGGACAGACACTCGGGGTATAATCAAATTTTCATCGCACCAGAGGACCAAGAAAAGACAACGTTCACGTGTCCCTATGGCATTTATGCTTTCCGAAGAATGCCTTTTGGACTCTGTAATGCCCCGGCAACCTTTCAGCGTTGCATGCAAGCCATATTTTCTGACATGGTTATAGATTTTCTTGAAATTTTTATGGATGACTTCTCTGTGTCTGGAGATGACTTTCAAAAATGCCTCGGCAATCTGGCAAAGGTACTTAAATGATGTGAGGTTGATCTTGTATTGAACTGGGAAAAGTGTCACTCATAGCGACTGAAGGCATTATTCTAGGCCATAAGGTCTCTCCAAAGGGCATTGAAGTGGACAAAGCCAAGATCGAGGTGATCGAGAAGCTACCCCCACCAACTTCTGTCAATGGCGTTAGGAGTTTTCTTGGACATGCTGGGTTTTATAGAAGATTCATCAAGGACTTCTCCACGATATTCAAACCCTTACGTACCCTGTTTCAACAAAATCAGTCATTCATGTTTGATCAAAATTGACATGGCGCATTCAATTTGCTGAAATGAAGACTTATATATGCACCTATCGTGGTTCTCCCAGATTGGATGTCATCATTCGAGTTAATGTGTGATGCGAGCAATTTTGCCGTGGGAGTTGTGCTTGGGAAACGTAGAGGTAAAATTTTCCATGTTATATATTATTCTAGTCGTACCTTGAATGATGCACAATTAAACTATACTACCACTGAGAAATAATTACTTGCCGTGGTATTTGCATTTGACAAGTTTAGGCCATACTTGATAGGCACCAGTCATTGTTCACACTGATCACTCAGCTATAAAATACTTAGTGAACAAGAAAGATCCCAAGCCTAGACTCATTAGATGGATATTACTATTGTAAGAATTTGACTTAGAGGTAATAGATAGGAAAGGTACTGAGAATCAGGTTGTAGATCATTTATCTAGGCTATAGAACATTTCATAATGTTATGACATTTTTTATATTAAAGAAGATTTCCCTGATGAGAAAATTTTATATGCCACGGCAATCCTGTGGTACGCTGACATTGTTAATTTTCTTTGTTAGTGGTATTTTTCCATATGAATTAAAAAGCCAGGGTAAGAAGAAGTTTCAGCATACTGCCAAGTTCTATTTTTGGATGAGCCATATTTATTTAAATAATGCACCGATCAAATGATTTGACATTGGTTCTCTGAAGAGGAGCAAAGAGACATTCTACACCATTACCACACAATTCCATGTGGAGGGCATTTTGTAGGTCCAAGGACCGCTGCTAAGGTCCTCTAATCAGGTTTTTATTGGCCATCGCTGTTTAAGGATGCTCACGAATTTTACAAAGCATGTGATAGATGCCAACGCACTGGAAACATTTCCAGATAATACGAAATGCCATTGTAAAATATTCTGGAGATAGAGTCTTTGATGTTTGGGGCATTGATTTCATGGGACCATTCTCATCTTCTTTTGGAGACTTGTATATTCTACTTATTGTGGACTGCGTATCTATGTGGGTTGAAGTGATTGCCACACCGAGGAATGACTCTAAAACTATCCTCAAATTCCTTCACAAGAATATATTTACTCAATTTGGTGCACCAAGAGTCATCATCAGTGACGAAGGCACTCATTTTGATAACAAGCTACTTGTCAAGGCATTACAAAAATATGGAGTACGATATAAGATTGTCACAGCATATCACCCACAAACCAATGGGCAAGCTGAAGTGTCCAATCGGGAAATCAAGCAAATCCTAGAGAAGGTGGTGAACCCTAGAAGGAATGATTGGTCCTCGAAGCTGGACGAAGCGCTCTGGGCTTATCATACGGCATTCAAAACACCTCTGGGAATGTCACCTTTTAAGATGGTATATGGGAAAGCATGTCACCTACCTGTGGAATTAGAACATAAGGCACACTGGGCGATCAAGAAGCTGAACTTCGACACACAATTAGCTGGGGAGCAAAAGTTACTAGATCTGAATGAAATAGAAGAGTTTCGAGCACAAGCATATGAAAATGCCAAGCTTTACAAAGAAAAAAAATATGTGGCATGATCGAATGATTTTTCCACGGCATTTTCATATTGGCCAGTAGGTGCTCTTGTTTAACTTGAGGCTTAAGCTCTTCCCTAGAAAACTGAAGTCAATATGGTCGGGACCATTTGAAGTACACCATGTTTACCCTCATGGCGCTATGGATATCAAGAATATGGATGATGGATCTATTTTCAAAGTCAATGGCCAGCGTCTGAAGGCTTATCAAGGAGTTCCACCCATGCATGACAAATCTGAACTCCTCTTGCACAATGTTGAAACTTACCAAGCATCTCAAAGATGCCGTTATATTTTAGATTTACTTCTGTGCATAAATAAAAATTTACTTTTCTACTATTTTATTCAATTTTATTTTAAGTGATTAATTTAATTTACTTTGTTTTAGGGTTTATTTTTTCCTTTTTCCCGCTCATACCCCATCCACTCATTAAATAACCCCATTTTTTTTACTTTGTTCTTATCCTTTTTACTTTTTCACTTTGTTTTCATCTATTCTTCTTCTTTCCTCCTTAGCTCTGAAAAGCCATAGCCAAAAAGCTTCAAGCTTTTTCATTTTTCTTTGTCTTGACAACTAACCATGGTGAGATCACGTCCCTCCAGCTCGGCTCCAACATCCCCATCCCGTTTCGTGGATGAAGCTGCGCAAGAAATGTTTCAAAACCTTAAAAATCACCAGGTGTTCTTTGAGTTAGGTTTTGTTTCTCCGAAAAGGAAGATTCCGACCTTGGTAGTGATGTAATGGACATTGTACTCCAGCACAAATGGAAAAAATTTGTCAAGTATCTGTAGAACGTAAACGCGTCACTGGTGAAGGAATTATATGCCAACATCACTGATATGAATCAGTATATCCTGGTGGTTCGTTGTATTTCTATTCGCTTTACGTCTTCATTTATTAATAGATATTTTAATTTACAGGATGTTATAGACAACCACACCACTTTCACGCAAGAGGCAGACAATGAAACTTACCATGGCATTTTAGAAGACCTTTGTCTTTCCAACACACTTTGGAATGGCTAGCAAGTGAGCCGATGAGTGGTGGACCGAAAGAGGCAGACAACCAACGGCCAAATTATGGAATCACTTCATGAAGCACAAGCTTCTCCTTACTGCTCACAACACCACTATTTCATTGCAAATGATGCTTCTGTTGCACTCCATTTTAGTAGGGTGTTCCATTGACGTAGGCAAAATCATTGTGGAACAAGTACATACTTGTTAGAAGTGACCTGCCAGTGCTTTGGTATTTCCAAATCTCATTACGGCTCTCTACCATAAGAAGAAATCGCCCGATGAGCAATTTGATGAGATATTGCCTGGCATGGCTGGTCTTACAAAAGCCAAGATTCCTATGTTACTTGGATTGCATGAAGCCAAGGGAAGGGATAAAGAGGAGAACATTTCTCGTGCTGCTACAACTCCAAATGCCATGGCAAAACCAGATGCCTTAAAAGAGGTCACTAAGTGCACTCAAGCACAAGTCGAGCAGCTGACCAACAAAATGATGACCTACTTTGCATATGTCAAGCGCCGAGATGAGTTTATTGCCAACGATGTTAGAGTATGTCCAAAGACCAATCATATGATGATTGTAATAATACATTTATTTACCGATTTTATTGAATAAAGGCATTGCCAATATTATTTTCAGTTATATGTATGTGTTTAACATTATCTGAAAGATAATAAAGTCCATATAATAACATTATTAAAAGATCCATAGTCAAGTATTATTATGGGCATGGACAATAATAATACGATTAAGACTAACATGTTATTGATTGATAACAAGGAGTTGTCATTGACATAGAGATGTCAGAATTGATACATGATTATATTGTTAGAGAACAATGTATTGGATTGACCCATCATGAGCATATGTCTTGGATTATTATGTAACGGACATAACATTGCTCATGGTGATAACTATATGTATAATACTCAGACTTGAGATCAATATCATCCCAACATATATTGTTGTATGTTTTGATACAGTTAAACATGCTCCGTAACTGGTTGCACTATAAAGATTGTTATTAAATATATCTCGATATATGTAGTGGGGTGTATATGGTTAAGATAGGATTTTTCCTTCCTACATAATAGGAAATATATCACAGGCCACTTGATTGAGTGAGACTAGAAATGCATGGCCATGCTCGAATAAGTTGATATGTGATATCACAAATTATTCGTTAATTATAGTCTACTCTAGATATCAAGAAACAATAGATGGGCTATACAAGTGTAACTATTCTAAGACTTGTGCCTATTCTAGATATAAAAGACAAAAGGATGTAATACATAAAAGAGTTAATCACGAAAATGATATGTCGAATCATAATATCTTGTAACTTAGGTAACAATGATATATTACTAGATGTCACTCATTGTATGTAATATTAGAATTGTTCTAATAATTACTACTAACGTTACAAGAACCTACAGGGTCATACCCTAGGATTGAAATGAGAAAAGATGTACAATTTGTTGTATGTTACTAAAAATATATCTATAGTTAAGATATGTAAATTTGATATACATATGATTTTAATTATCCCGAATATAGTAAGTAAGCATTAAAAGAATGTAATTTATATTACAACTCTTTTAATTGATATTTATTATTCGGAATAATTAAATAAGTTTTTAAATAACCATTAAAGATTTTAATTTAGATTATAAGTCTTTAATGTATATTTAATTTCAATTAATTAAATAATATTTTATTTATTAATTTGAAATAACTTTAAAAACCCAAAGATATTAGGGTAATTGATATTTAAAAGGAGGCAAGGTCTAGCAGTTGTTTTTCACTTCAGCCGTTTTCTCAAAATAGATTTTGGGAAAAAGAAAACTTTGCTCTCAATTGGGTGAATTAAGTAGAGGCTGATCTTCTATCAAAAAAAAACTTACTGCTGGAGAAGATCGAGTTCCGCAACACAGAGCAAACGTGACGTTTCGATCCATTAACTCGAGTCCAAAAAGTTTTCCAACATTGGCTTCACGGCCGTCTTCTTTGTCACCCTTTGGATAAGACTCGGAGAGATCACGTTTCAGGATAATCAAAACCAGAAGAACCTGTATAGGGACAGTAAAAAAATGTACCTCTTGTAGGTTTGAAGCCGTTGGTTTCCACAGAATTTGGTGCTCAATTGCTTGAGCACTTATTGTGTTGCCTCCGACGTTGAGGGTTGCCTGACACCGATATGACATTGTTATTTAACGGCATGTGGGGATGAAATTTCTTTTAACACCTGCAAAACTAACCTTGTTGGTCATAGCCAAAATATCTTCACAAGTATTAGGCGGACCATATTGGAGATATCCCTGTAATGGTGAAATGATCATTAGATATGATATTTCCCCCCTACATTAACTCCGAGTATAGTGTAAGATAAAGCAAAAATCATGCAAAGACCTCTGCCAAGATGACATAAACGACGAGGCATTGAAAATATATATAGCTTAATTTCCATACTATACATGCATGATACAGGCATTGTACATGTTGATCCAGAATGCTAATTTCTGCTGGTAAGTCAATCCTCCCAACTCCACTTTCTGGAGATTGCTCATCAGGACCCTGAAGATGGGAAGCATAAGAAATTATCAGAATTTGTTATTCTATGAAAGTCTACCCAATTATTCACAAACCGATACACAGATACAGAAACCCTTCTAAAACATTAAAAGAAAAATCTTTAGCAAGTTGCATTACCAAAGTTTTTTAAGCAAAGGAATAGAACTAGAGCTGGAAATGCATTTGGGGTCCATGGAGCTTGATGTGAATATGGCGAGGTTCTTATAAGGGCCAATGACCCTCGGGATAGACTCTTCCACGTCAAAGATGCCATAGGGATCCTGTTGCCTTGATTTCTTCTGGAGATTTGAGTTTGGGTTTAGAGCGTTTTCAACCCTAAAGCATCTTGAGCTTAAGAGAGTGTTGATAGGCCTGGTAACGGTGCCTGATTTTTCCAGCTCCATTGCTCTTGATGTCCTAAGTAACCTCACAAAAATGAAGTTCAAACATTTCATGATATTCTCGGATAACTTGTTGGGATGCCAAGTCTGACTGCTGTCTTCTGAAACAAGTCTTGTTGGTGATTTTGGTGGCATGTCCCAGTTGGCCTCTAGAATCTGTTCCCTTGACTGAGAAAAAAGATGAAGAAGGTTCATTATGGATAAAAACTCCATTAGAGATGAAGAGTTTGATTAGAATCAAAACAAGTCTTGCCTTGGGCAAACCACTTCTCCTTGGACTCCTCTCTTGGAATCTAATTACCACCTCTCCTGTGTACTGGTTTTCTTTCTGATCTGAAACTCCTCCTTGGGGTACTCTTTTGGTTGTGGTTCGCGTTCTCTCATGTAGACTCATGAAGTCACCAAGAGTATAATCTCCTTTAATAGCTTTGCTAATGAAATGCAAAGCCTTGGTCTCGAAAACCACATTTTCTTGACTATCTTGCTTCATGGTGGATATATCCCCCGCAGGTTTTGATTTCTTGTCCTGTGTGACCTGATGTTCCTGGTTCAGACACTGTTTAAGCTGTCTTATTTGGCTTTCTAAACGACCAATCTCACCTTCAACAATAGTCAGCTCCTCTAACACCTCCTTCATCTACGATATCCAAACCAGATGGATAACTCGAGAGGTTGTTTCTTTTGTCAATTAATTAGACTTCATTGAAATCGCAACACTATTACTTACTACGTTGATATGGTGAGCAACTGTGTTGGGAAACATATCTTAAATGACTACTCAATTTTTAATTATATATATATATATATATATATATATATATATATATATGGTGATCATATTCTTATGCCATATTTTAATAGATATATACAAAGATATGAACATGTAAGGAAAACGAATAATATAGATGAGAATTGCCTTTCTAGTGTAGAGCGTACATAGAGGTCAAGGTAGAATCCAATCTTTTCTAGTGATCCTAGCAAGTCATGCTCTACAGTAGTAATATGTTTCTTCCAAACACATACTTTCGTAATTATATGTAGAAAGAATTTATATGGGAAAGAAAAGGCTTACTCTTGGAGGGAGGAAATCTGGGATAGAGATAGAAGAGCCATCCTGTTGACGATAAACTAGTGTCAGAATCTCATGCAATTTTTCTTCTTGATTTAGCATTCTCTGAATCATGGAAACCTGTAAATAGAAAATTAATCATCAACATGTTTTTCCATGTAACCGAAAATACCATTTCTTGGTTAGCTGATTAAATTTGAAGCTAAAACTCTCCTAAGCTGGTGCTTAAAAAAGGGACATATTTATCCAGAAATGATCCATGGTGGGTATCTTACAAATGCATGCTACTCATGAAAGGTGATATATATCCCCACATACCTCTCTTTCAAGTTCCTCTCTCTTCTTCAGACCACTAAGCTTCTTCTTCCTCTAGAATTAAAAATGAAGAAACAAATTGAAATAACAAGGCATAGCCGAAAGAAGACAGAAATGTTCTACTTACAATTTCCAAGGACAAATCCATGAATCACTTTACCAAAAACCCAGGGTGGATGAAACATTTATAGAAAAAAGAAAAAAGATAAAAACGCAAGGGGGGAGGGGGGAAGAGAGGGAAGCCTTAAATCTAAAGGGAAGACAGTGAGGGGTGGTTGGTATACATATATCGACAGTTGAATAGTATATATGAAAAGTTGAAAAACCGAAGATGGTGAGGAGCTTTCAGGATTTGGGCTAACCGTCTCTCGTTGGTGATCATGACATGCACCACGTTCAACTCTTTTCACGTACCTTACAATCCTGGTCTTTTTGAGCTTATCATACCCTTCAATTTCTTACCCTTTTTCCTTTCTCAGGAAAAGCTTTACGGTTATACACTGTTTTAAAATCATTTATATAAAATAATAAAAAAAACATTAACATAAATTTCAATTAAAAAATAATAAATATTTCTTATTTTTTATTTGAATTAATTAGTGATGTAACATTTGATTCCATAAAAATCATTCAATCTTTTTTTTTATTATTAGAAAAAGATAAAAGTTGTAGATGTCACATCCTTTCTAAGCAGATCAATATGTAATTATCAAAACCTTAATTTCCTCATTGTTGGTTTGTATGTTGTGTTTTTGAGCATTACCAGTAATGCATATGGGTAAAATCCTACACCTCTGTCAATTTATAGCCATTCAGCGATTATGTATGAATACTTAAGTAAATTCAAAGTTAAAGCTACAATAAAGACACAGGAAAAAGAAACAAAGTTTGATGTTATGTTATGACAATAATACAAGACAAGCATTACTTAAAATTACATCACTTTGTAAGAATAGTCCAATTCCAATAATTATATATATGTATAATTACATTTTTTTTGTTTCTTTGATTCAAAAGGAAGATCTAACTGCAATCATTGTCGTTATATGTTTCAAAATCCATCCATTTCCTAAGAAATCAGCTGCCACAAAAACTGATCTATATAGCCTTGCACTCTGTTGTTCTCACTAGTTTTAACGAAACAGAGACGACGCTTTACTATTTGTATAAGATGTGCATGTGTATGAAGTAAGAAATAAGGGTGATGGAGTTCATCTTCTTTGGAAGGTTAGCATACAAATGAAAGCAACAATACGACAAAGCACACCAGTTGCCACAAGGTATGTCAGACAAGGAAGGAAATTCTTTAGATCATATCCGTTCTGAAAAAGCGAACCACATCGAGTAATCAGCCATACACCGGAGTACCTAAAACCAAATTAAAAAAAAAAATGATCAACTTCAATACAAAATATTAAGGGTTGAAGCAACACATTCACAATGACTAGTAGTATATGGTGGATTATAGAGAATGAAAGCCGACATTTTAGCATTCGAGACCACAAAGGCTTCCAATGCCCACTTGGTATAGCATAAGTCACCAATAGAATTAACAATCTCGCCGTCACCGCCTTGAGTTGCTATCAGAGTCAAAACAACTGGAAGAAGCACTGACCACTGCAACAAAAAAGCCAAAGGTAAAACATGTAACTGACCACTCGATTCACATCACACTTGCCATATTCACAATTCTTACCAGTTGAGCTTGACCTTGCTCAAAAAGGATGGAGAAAATATACGCTATGCCAGTCACGCAGTATACCAGACAGAGTAAAACAAAGTAATTATCGGTGATGGTTGATCTTGGATTGTTGAAGAAGTAGAACATTGAGAGATACACCAGAGGCTTGATTATTGTATTGAAATGGTCGATTGTATCCTTAGCTAGAAAGTAAGCCAAGCTGCTCATACCAGATGAACGTTCTCTCCAGTAGTGCAGTTTATCCAAACCAAAGGTTCTCAAAGCTGCAATCTTGCATAGGAGTGCTGAAAGCAATTGTATTTCACATTGGTGAAAAATGGAATAAATCTTTAATCTTGTAAAAAATTTAGTGTCCTATGTTCACAGCTTCAAGGAGCTGAATGAAAGAAGACTTTTAACTTACAAACTCCAATAACTGTGTACGTATAACCCATTGCGCCAAATGTCTCATCACTCACTTCAGCTAGTGTTCCTAAGCAAAGTCCAGCGAGCAATAAAATTAGATAATCAACCACTTGTGTCCTAGTGTCTCTTAACCGTTGTTTTCCAAGCCTGTCAAGTATTCAGACATCGTTAAAGGTTTGAAACTATGAACATTCACCATAATCAAATTTCAGAACTGATTAACTGGAGAAACATTAAACATCTTATCTTAAAGAGATATGATAAAACATAAGCTATTGAACCCAGACTTAGGGCTAGTGTCGGATACACATTCTGACACGGTCATGCTCCTTTTTTTTTCCTCCTTATACCATATACTTGGACAATCGTACCTTCCTATCAATGTTTGTTGGACACAAGTGTCGAACATGGATCTTAAGAAAAATGAAGCATCCAGGTACATAGCACATAAGAACTTGAACAACTACCTTCCAAGATAGTATCTATACTGCGTGAATACACCAGGCGTTTTCCTTTGTGACAAGTCAGCTGATGAGAGGATATTATGTTGTACGTTGTCTTTCTTTTTCTGAACATAACATTTCACATCCTGCCACAATTCGTCAGCCAAGGAATTTGGTGTCGGTTCAGTGCTGTGAGTACTATCGTCTCCATGCCCTGACCCCCCAGATTGTGCTGACATTCCCTCCATACTATTCAGCATATCCATGGGAACAGGATAGCCATTATGAAGCATCCATCTTACCGGAAGCTGTTTAACCGTCAAACCTGTGTCTGTGTTTAGTTTTATTATACCCTCCAAAATGTCAATATAGTAATCTGGAGGATTAGCACGATCAGGGAGATTAATTCCAAGGCCAGCAAAATACTCTTCGGCTTTCTTCACTGGTCCATGATATACAGTAAGTCCACCCTTTGCTAGAAGTATTAAATCATCAAACATCCTGTACAAGGTATAACTGAAATACAGAAAAGGAAAAAAAGTGAAAATCGGCATCCATTATTTCCGGCTTCTTATGAGTCATATTGGTGTATTCACACGTGTTTACTCCTTGGTAAAACAAACAGATTACATAAAATTCAAAATTCCCATGATAATATAAACTTACCTTGGCTGGTGAACGACCATGCAAATGTTTACCCCTTCAAGAGCTTCACGCCGAAGAGCTCGAAGTAGTAATTGGGAAGATGAACTGTCCAAACCAGAAGTTGGTTCATCTAATATCAATAGTGAAGGTTCCATAACCATTTCCAGCCCGACATTTACTCGTTTCTTTTGACCCCCGGAGATTCCCCTCTTCTCCACTGTCCCAACTAGAGAATCCCTCACAGCCTGAAGTCCCAAGGACTCGATGACTCTTTCAACAACTAGAACCTTCTCTGGTTTAGGCAGGTCAGCAGCAAGTCTAAAATAGTTAGGAATCCAGTTAGCGACAAGGCGAAATTAATAGAATCTTTCTTAATGTAGAAAACCACACACACCAAAAAATTTATATTTTATAAACAGTTGATAAATGAAAAGGGAAAGGTCTCCTGCAAGGCTGAACATACCTGCAACTAGCACTGAACCATAGATTTTCCGCCACTGTCAAGTTTCCATGCACAATATCATCTTGTGGAACAAAACCAATTATTTTCTTATATGCTTGGATTGACCCTTCCTTCCCATTTATTTGAACTGTACCAGTCATGATACAACCTGGAGCTTTTCCAGTTACAGCTGAAAGAAACGTTGTTTTTCCAGCCCCAGATGGACCCATAACAGCAGAAACCCTACCAGGAGATAACTTCCCCGTTACACACCTCATTAGATGTTTGTTTTTTCCTTTCAGAGTGATGGTTAAATCTTTGAAGGCGACCTCAATTGTAAGCCTCTTTCTGATAATGCTATCGACCTCATTAGCCAATGAAATCACTCCAGATAAGGTCAAGTCTTTGTGCTGCTCCTGGAGAGCTTTCTCCTTCTCTATTTGACCATAAGCATACCTGTATATTTGGCTCTGAGTATGCAAGTCTTTACCCTTGGGTGGATTCTTCTTTGATTGTTTGTCTCCAATATGTATATTAAATCCTTCATGACTCTCAGGGTTATCTTTATTTCATGTAATATCTTGGTGAGATTACCCTTTTCCTTCTTTTTTGACTGCTGAGATGCACTTGTAGATAATCCAGCATCTGTTCCAGGTTTACCTTGACTTGCTGGTTGCTTTTGAGATTTCTTTCTGGAAAATGTACGTGACAACGATGTATGCAGCCCAATTGCATGCTTCTTAGCAATTTCTTTTGCCGAAGTCCATTTTTCACGTGCCTGAGCTGTTTCTCTCACACTTTGAACCGCCTTCTCCCTGGATTGCTCTTTTTTCTTCTCTCGAGTTGCAATAACTTGATCAGAACAGTTGTATATAATGACAATTAGGAATCCAAGTCCAGCCTAGAATGGCAAATTCAAGATTCAGAATTTTGTGTGTGGATAGATTTTTGGCTATTATTTCACTGAAGAAATTACACTAATCTAAAAGGCAACCTTCAGAAGGAGCAAATGAACATCGGAATATAATTTTTTTTAAAAGAACGATATGTTCTTACAATGAATGAAAAATGCCACATTGTTTATAAGGTAAGCTGCTCACTCACAAAAAGCATGATGCCATATGCAGTGATATTTTGATTTGCCGACTTTGGATTACAAGTTGCAAACTGGAAGCAGGCTGCAAAATTCAATTGGTAAGAAGGTTAGTTACTGGGCTTCTTTCACACATTGGAAATGAAACTAAAAAAAGGGAATTAACCGATGAACTCCTATACAAGGCATGAATATGACAAGTAGAACATGACACAAATTAGGTTCTCATAAGTACTTATATTACAGGGTATATAGTTTCTTCGTATTACAATTTGTCAAGGAACAAAATACTGAATTTAGGAGTAAGTTATTTGAGGAAAAACATACTTAGTTGAGATGTAGAACCTGTCCTGCAGTAATATCTGGAAGGAACAAACAAATAGTCATATCAGAAAGTATGAAACAGACATCGTTGCAT